AAATCCCCTGGTATTGACAATATCCCCTCGTCAATCTTAAAAATATTTAGGGAGACTTTGTGTAAACCATTAGCCCACATTTGCAACCTTACCTATGAATATGGTGTATTTCCTAATATACTCAAATCTGCTGTTATTTGCCCAATCTACAAAAGTGGTGACAAAAAAATGCCAACGAACTATAGACCAATATCTTTGCTCAGTGTAGTATCTAAAATAATAGAAAAAACGACAAATAAAAGACTCATTCAATACCTGGACCAAGCTAATGTGCTATGTAACAACCAATATGGTTTTCGACCTAAAATGTCTACAGAAGACGCTGTTTTAAAACTAGCGACACTCATTAAAGATAATGTTGATAAAGGTGACAAGTGTCTAGCTGTTTTCTTAGATTTACAAAAGGCTTTCGACACTGTGTCAATTCCTATAATGCTAGCCCGTCTTGAGAATATCGGTATTAGGGGTAACGCTTATAATTGGTTTGAAAGCTATCTTACAAATAGAATTCAGAGAGTCCGAGTCGATAATTATATTAGCGACTTTGATTGTGTATCATATGGAGTACCGCAGGGAAGTACATTAGGGCCTACTTTATTTTTAATATACATTAATGAACTCTGTCGGGTAACATTACAGAATGCTAATATTATAATGTACGCAGACGATACAGCTATCTTGTTTCGAGGTAAAAATTGGGATGAGGTTCGCAGACTTACTGAAACAGGCTTATGCACCATAACAACTTGGCTCGAGGATAGTTTACTTTCTCTGAATACGAGCAAAACGAAATTTCTTTGCTTTAGCAAAACTAGTCGTGGACATCCCACCAACTTCCAAATTCGCATACACACATATCCTTGTAATCGTGGCTTTTACATGGGAAGTCTTAATTGTAGTTGTAAAGTCCTTACAAGAATAAATAATATAAAATATTTGGGCGTCGTTATTGATGATAAACTATCGTGGGCAGAGCATATATCTTTATTGGCTAGGCGTGTAAGAAAACTCATGTTCATTTTTAAAAATATTAGGATTTTATCAGATACTAGAATTATAATACAGACATACAAGGCTTTAGCTGAATCAATTCTAAGTTATTGTATATGTGCATGGGGTGAACATCTGAATTATATAAGAGAGCAAATGTTCTTACGATAAGAAAACTATTTATATATCAGTGTATACGTAGATATCATAAGGTTACTGTTCCACTTTTACCTAAAAATAATAAAAGACATGACCGCTGTCCGCTTCCACGAACAAGAAGTGTCTTCGCCCAAAGGCACTATGATACTATTGCTCCATTTATCTATAATAAATTCAATGACCTTTATACTGTGAAAAATCTAAGCAACTATAGAATAAAAGAAATTTTAAAAGAATGGCTAATTAATCTAACGTATGAACAAACTGAAAACCTTGTGCTAGTATAAAAAAAAAATGAATAAATAAAATAAATGCTAATATATACAAATTGTAATAGTAACATAACACACACAAGTATACAACCAAACCCACTCACACAAACGCACACACACACACACACACACACACACGCACACATTCACGCACACACACACACACACTCATATACACACTTTTTTTTTTCTCTCTGTGTCTTGTAAGTTAGAAGTAATTTATTTAATTTTTAATATTTTTTTTTCTTTTTTCCTTTTTTGTTTACATTAACTTACCTTATTATAACGTAATTTCATGCAATGAATATGTACGCCTGATATGGGAAGGTACTAGCTCCTGAAACACAGTTTTCTAGTTCAGGAGTTAGGGCTGTGTGTATTTGTTACCATTGTGTTGTTTAATAAAGAATGTTTTTTTTTTTTTTTTTTTTTTTTTCTATTCGTCGGAATCGTTTTTTTATGTATGTTCACCGATTACTCGAAGACGCTTGAACCGATTTGGATTTTTTTTTGTTACAAAGGTATATATAGGTATACTTCCCAGGTGGTCCCATAATATAAAATCAACAATAAATATAGTTTTTTTAAATAAATTGTTTAACCGAATATTATTAAAAAACTTTCTTCTTACAAATTACCAGCTTGTTACGTCTACACTGAAAATGTAAAAATAAAATCTTAAAAAAAAATGAAAACCGACTTCCAGGCACTAAAATGTAAAAAATATTAAAACGGAGGTTTTCATTTAGAATAGATACCTAATCAGATATTTTCGAAGTCGGTGCCTGCCTGTATATAATATTATAAATACAAAAAGCGCCTAAGGACGCAAATATTATTATAATGTCATATGGGCTATTTACCACGATTTTTACTTATTATGTCCGAAGCATTATTCGAGACCTTATAAACAATATTGAGATGACATCTTCCGTCTCCAGCCACTTTTAGTAGTTGTAGTTCCCTTAAACTACGAAAATATGGTAACTTCCGGCCACCATGTTCACCAGGTGAGCGCCATCGGCCATTCTCTGCATGGATGACAAATAAAATTCTCTGCTCTACTATTTGTGACAATTCCCAATATTTTGGCACACGTCGTTTACATTCGTTGAGGGTAGTTAATTAGATATGTCTACCAATATAAAAAAGTTTAACGTCTACCCGCAAAATTGTCAATATACCCGTTACCATGGCAAAGTATTTATATATATTTGAGTTTTCTTATCATTTTGAGTGGAAAAAGGGCGGGAAAAGAGTTGTGTTTTGTTACATCGAATATTACTTGGCCTACATGACATACTCTTGAAATACTCTCGTTTAACAATATTAATATCTGCGACGATGAAAGTTTAAAGACTTAAAAAGTGAGGGTAATTTGCTAGCGGAAAATAAAACAAATGTATAATATGTGTAAAATGTTTTATTGATTATTCGTTGTTATAAGCAACAGTTAATTATAGAGTATAATTTAAACTTAAAAATACAATTAAGGCATTATACGTAATAAACTAATCGATTATACTGGAAGAACCCGGTTAAATTCAGGCTAACAGCGCAAATGGCCTAACTCACATTTTTAACTGTTAACTTTTAAATATAACTTGCATGTTCGAATATCTAATTAATAGATGGAGTTATAAAATTTATATTTACATTTTTCTTATTTGCTATATTTATATAAATACAAGAACATTTGCCCATATTGATTATTATTTATTTTAGGGTTGGGCCATTTTTGCGTTGACAGTTTACAAATGTTGCCTGAACGTGACAATATTTCATACCAAGGAAAAAAAATTATATCATTATGGGTACTTATAAAAAAACATTATCGTTATCGATACATACAATAATTCTACAAAATTGTTGTACACAAATATGTATGTTTGATATTTGCTTCATAAAAAATTCGAACTCGCTACCTTTAGCTTAGGTATCTATGATTATAGTCTGAGTCGGTATTCGAAACGAATTATTAGTACAAAATGTCGTATTACATTATAAGTATTATGATTATTATAATAAACGTGGTAATATACAAAAACGTTAATATTTTATTTAGCAGTATTGAGTGATACTGGATTAAATACATTTTCTACGTTTTTGTGGTCAATCGTGGTCAACAGAGGCCACCAAAAATTTTAATATACATCTATAGCCGTTCCAATTTACTGCTTTAAAATAACTGCAAAAAAATTAAAATATGGTTTGTATTTTAAATATTTAAAAAAATAATTATTACCATAGAAAGGACATTTAGTCTTCTACGTAATTATTAGGTTTTCTCCATTTTGGTGATTTCAAACCAAAGCTAAATATTTATTGTACATTTTGACAGATAGATTGTAGATGCACACTTAATTTTATTAACAGCAATACCTTACATATTAAAAGCACTTGGGGCTTAATTTTGATGATGGCAACACAAAATCTCTATTAATTTCAAACAAACATAGAATACTTTATTTATTTGGCAGTACGTTTTTCTTAGGAGAAAGATTTTATTATTATTATTTTTTTTTACAATTGGATAAACGCATTTAAAGGGTAAATCGGTGGCCACTAAGTAAATATATACATAGACGGTGCTTACAGTAAGTCTGCTTTTTTTTATAATACGTCAGAAGAGTTTTATAAAGAAAATCACTTATTGTCATCTAATAACGTGAATCACAATTTACAAATATGTTAAAAGTCATATTTATTTAGGGACCCCCAACATTCCAATATGCGCCCTCACTGAATTAATTTCATACTAAAAAAGAAAAACTTAAAGAATTCTTCTAGATTCTATGTAGTACGTCATCTAAGCTCGTATTAAACCCCCTGAAGCTATATTTTAGTGTTGCCATACGTATGCTAAAATCTAACTTTATAAAAAGACCAAGGAACGGTCGGAAAACTTCATATGGAAGTAAACACCATGTGGCTTCATGGTAAAAATTTTCTGACCAGCAGAATTTTACAGCTTAATTTTAGCTTTTATTGATTTCTTCATGACGTCTAATTAATACTTGGAAAAATACTGTACAATAACAAGAATAATTTTGTTTTATACAAAAGTTGTTTTTACCAAGTCAAGGTGAACTTTTTAGGTTCTAACCTTGCATACCTTAACGATGGATAATTGAAAAGGTATCTAAATGAAAGATTCTAGCTCATTTTCCATTTATCAAATAAATCTCCTGAATTATTAGTGGTGACCAGATTTCCTACTGGTACGTCACAGATGTAACTAAATGAGGTTATCTGTTATAATGTTTATCAAAACATAGATCAAAGTAACCACTAACTTAAAAATAAAGTAAGACTACTACTACTTTCATTATTAATATTAAGTAAATTGTACTGTTAATAGTTTCGTAATATCTGAAAAAAAACCAGCAGAGAAATCTTATCATTATCAACAAGTTATTCAATAACTTTCCTTGTCCAAAACTCTTAGGTATTGTATAAAGACATATACAATTAATTTATCATTAAATCTCTCATCGATTAGCTCATTTTTAGTTTTGCCCTTTAATATGATAAAACATACATATAAATATTATTCATGTGTAGTATAAGTTGTTGTTACGCGCGTGTGTGATTGTTAGAAGTGACGGGAGGCGCGTCCGCTTCCTCCGCCGCGGCTTCGGCTTTTAGCTTATAGTATTTACCTGTAAGAATATGTTATATATAAATAAACACAAATTTATTATAGACTAGCGACTCACCCTCGCTTCGCTCGAGTTCGTCCTTAGGTTGCTTCCCAAAACAAACTTTTATCCCCATTTTCACCCCCTTTAAGGGATGATTTTCGGGGTAAAAATGGTATGTTGTCCTTCCCAGGTTCTCAAACTATCTTCTTACCTTTCATCTAAATCGGTTCAGTAAATCCAGAGATTACCCCTACAATGTCACAAACTCACAAACCTTACCTCTTTATAATATTAGTATAGATTAGTGACTTACTCCCGCTTTGCTCGGGCGCATCCGTAACAGTATTTTTGTCATACATTTGCTTTATACATACGTATGCTTTTTACATATATAATACATTGCATAATATTGCTTAATTTCAAACTTCTAAATCAGCGCACGCCAATGAAGTATCTAAATTTCCACTTTTTTCCGATTTCAATTAAAGTTATAAAAAATAGCTCATAGCTATTAGCGAAAGAATTTTCAGAATCTGATCAGTAGTTTTAAAATTATCTTCTCGTACGAACTGACAAACTTTACCTCTTTATATTATAAGTGTACATTTTTACGGATATTCATAATCAAATTCTTCAAGATCAATTAATGCATATGGAAATTTTAAAAGTGGCACCCAACGTGGTCTTTGAAAATAAAATTTTATTTTTCATGTTTCAACTTTGCTTGATTGTACTTGATTGGCTGTTGAATGAAGTTGTGAAGGAAAATCACCAAACTCCTATTGCCTATTTTGTTATAACTGCAATTTATTTGTTTATTTAAATTTGGTTTTTACCAATTAATCTTTTAAGTTTATTTATAAAAAATGTCATAAAAATATTTAATTAGCTTACGTGATGTCTTCACCATGATGACTCCCCACCAAATAGACCACCCCCAGCCAACGAGACAGAACAGTACCGTGAATAGCTGTCCGCAGCCAACTAAAAGGTTGATTATAAAAGAGCCTGAAAATGAGAATATTGGTTTTATTACTAACAAATCAAAAGGACACCAAGAAAATTTTTAGTTATCATAACAATAGTTTTAGAAAATTTAAAAATCTCGCTTTTGAACAAATGCAATTTATTAGACTCGCCAAAAGGAATAAATCAGATCAAATCTAAAATTCGAAGGTTTTACTTCTAGGTATTGATAATCATTCTATTCATGTGGTCCTTTTACCTTTCCTTATCGGTAGTTCATCTGTGTTTAGAATTATTAGATGCAAAGTTTCAATTGGATATAACAGAAGTGGAGTTGGAGTTACAAATGTCACGTTTTCAGTATAGTATGTTCTAAGGGATATTAAAACCTTATTAAAAATTGTAACCACAATTTAAATTTGCTTTCATAAGATATAGTTTTAGAACTATTAGATATATAGAGTACATAAAATTACCTATCCTATGTTTAGCTCCGTCGTGCACACCGAAGCGAGGTATCCCGAAACACAGACAGAACATGCCACTGAAGATTGTGCCTGAAATTAAATTATATAATTTTGTATTACACCAAACTGCTACTACTATGGGTCTTAGATCTATGGTAATGTCATATTTTTACCACTTGATATTGATTTTTTATAATATTGATAACGATTGTAGAATGTCGCCCTATCTTAAATTAATCAGCTGTTAAAATTATTATCTTTATATTATTTCTGGATATAAATATCTTGGGCATTAGCACACAGCACCGTCTAGTTCCATGGTAAGCTACGAGGCTGTTGATACATTAAACATATATAACTTTTTAATATATACATATTATAATTATAAATATACGTGACTGTAGTACAAACATTCGCACTCGTCACACAAATGAATGCCCCCAGCGGGACTCGAACCCGCGACCGCTTGCAAAGTAAGCAGGGTCACTACAAACTGAGCCAAACGTGTCATCATATAATCATGATATAGTATATGATATATGTATAGTCATGATATAATTTAAAATTTCTGAATAAAATATATTTTTTTCTGTCATATGTTCATATTATGGATTGGATATGTGGTTTAAACCCAGAAGTATTACAATTTATAAAAATGTTATAACGAATATTATATTACAACTTTGAAATCACGCTGTTACTTACTGATTCATAGAAGTAAAAGAAGATTAAACTATACAATATTCATTCTTCTCTTACTTACACTTACTCTTCCTCAAGAAAAAATTGGGAAATAAAATATAATACATATCACTCACCAAGTCCCGGTACGATGATGTTGCAGAATAGACAGAAGTAAGCAAGAACCGCTGGCAGCACTGGTATGGCGCCTCGCATAACACTCGTATGCTCTATCAAAGACGGGTCTAATTTCTTGCGCGTATCCTGTTAATATTTGGTACAAAAAATATTATGTACATACCTTTGTTATTATATGTAATATATATTACATATAATACTAACTGTAACTATAATAATATTGATTCAGTTTATTCGATGGTGTTATGCACTTATGTATTGTAAATGTTGTGATGCAAAATAAGTACGAATATCTACTAATTTAACGAAAAATATATAAATAAATCTGTGACCGCTGGCACAGCAAGTAGGGTCACTACAATCTGAGCCAAACGTGTCGTCAAAATAAAAATGATTTTTGGTTTTTTTAATTGTCGCTAAAAAGACTGGTTGCATTTCTAGCTTATATTTGGCATTGCGATGATAATTGTTATTATAACAGCATTTATATACACATAATTAAAGTCATTCGTAAATTTAAAAAACAAAACCGTTACATAAAATTACTATTATATTTTTTTTCAATATAAGGACACAAATTTAAGAATATCACACCTCTTTATAGCCCAAATTTATGGGAATATTTCGTTTTCGAACATTCGTTAAAATAATTTTGGGCGTTTGTAATGGCGAAGGAGTTTTACGATGTAAAGGTACCGACAGCGACATATTAAATTTTTTAAATCTTAATATTTTATTAATTTTTAATTTAGCATAAAAATCGAGTAAAACGCAATACGTGTTTTTCTAATAAATGCAACGAGAATACTAAAAGAAAATCAAGTTAAAACAGCAAATCATGTACAGTCATATCGATTTTTTTCATTACATTGTTATTGTACATACTTTCTGTTCATTGACCTATTTTGATATAAAAAACGCATAAATTTAGCAAGTAATCCTTATAAATTAATAGCTTTTCACGATAACACCCTTTACAAAGACAGACAAAGATCGACCGTGCAAGTCAGCTTTATTTTATATGTAATATATTTTTTGTCTACAGGTCTCAATGAAAAATTTTCACCGCGTGGAAATCGAATTTGTAACTATCAATAGCTAGACAAACTTGATCTAACATTTTTAGTCTCTGAGTTGTTCTAAATTGAAGCTATGAAATTCAACATAAAAAGAACTGTATTAAAGTACCTATTTCTAATAAGGTAGTTTTCGTGAGACGCTCCAGATATAATCGCACAAAGGCTATATCACGCGAAGAAGCATTAATAGGTTTAATATCACGTTTGTTATGTTGTGAAATCGAGTTTAAAGGATTCGGTATAATTATGATAATGTTTTACATGTGTACTTGTAGTATGTAGCTATTTAAAGTAATATTTTATATATGTGCCTACAACGTAGTTATTGAATTAAAATACTCACCACCTGACGCACAAGATCTTTAATAAAAATAAGAATTGCATGTCAAAAACATTCCGATAACGTCAGTCCCACACTGGGCGCCAAAATTTATAAGCAAAGAATTCACTGCGTTAGTTTGCCCGAAAAATACTTAAAAATAGCCAAACGTTGTCTTAAAATATGAGTGTGAAATATTTCTTGGATATTTATTATATTACTCATAATAACACGTATAATTTAATAACGATTAAGTAAATTATAAGTTGAATCACAGTTTGTTTGAGTCACGTGTCGCGTGTCAAGTGACCGCTGAGCAAAAGTTACGGGTCAATTGTAAAGTACAGTTCGCAGATAACAAACATAATAGAGGAATTCTAATTTAAATAAATATTTAAGAAAATGCCAGTTATCTTAAATATAAAGATTTCATTTATATGTAATTAAAAATAGTAACTAATTTTACTAAACAATTTTTGCACTTAACTTTCAAAATAATAATTAAACAAGTAATTTTAACTTATGAGGCAATATTATTATTTCCTGACACTCGTTATATAAGGCAAGTTTCAGATATGTGTAGAATTATTTAAACTCATCTACTATTTTTATGCACCTAGTACTATTTCGACACGCAATAAAAAAGTATTTTTTCATTTCAAGGTTCTTAGTCCTGACATTTCAATGAGGTAAATTTTTTTTCAAAGAATAAATACAATATATAATAAAACATGTTACTGTACAGTTCCAATGTTCTCAACGTATTTTGTAGCTGTTGGTAATTAAAATACTGCAGTGCAGAAATATGAGATTGTTAGTAATGAATTGAATTCTGAATACTAATTAAGTGAAATGTATGAAGTATTTAAAATGATTTTCTGCTGTTATTGGATCAAACTAAGAGAAATTTTAACTATAATGACTTTAATGTAATTCTTACCTCAGGTGGTAAAGTAGGAGAGAGACTCTTATTCTTGGAAAACAGGCTGGTTCTTCTACTCGAAGATTGCTCTGATTGTCGTCGACACGCGCCTCGTATCCATCGGCCGAAGCGGTTGTTGCAGCAACTAATGTAAAATATATAAATAAGTACAGCTGCATTTTAGTAGCATTATTAGCGACTTACCCTTTCCTCGCTCCAGGGCATTGTCTATCTGTTTATTAAATTTCATTCAAATCCATCCAGTCGTTTCAGCAGGAAGAAGTACGAAATATATATATACACGCACACATACTTTCAAGCGTACAAACATTCATTTTTATAATATTCCAATATTCTAGTACTTTTTTTTTAATTTATTTAATCATTTATTTCAGGTAATATTTACAAAAAGATCTTAAATATGTAAACAGAGGCCCATAGCATAATATAGAATTTGATTTCCGTATAGATATTAAAGCCTGTAGTAGCTTTTAACTACACTATTTAATTTTTGAGTACAAACAGCGCTTTCTAGCCTTTTTTACGTTAGAAAATGCTTTTATGCATACCACCTGCAAGAAGCAACTCGCATAGTACACCGCTTATTGAGGTGGGGTACCGAGCTTCAAGCACAGCTGGATTGGCGGACGCCCCCCCTCCCCCTCCCCACTACATGGCACACAGACATCGCGGGGGAGCGCTTTCTAAATAAAGCCAACCCAAAAAAAGTGTATAGTATACCGCAATTTCCAATAAGCACCACTGTGCGATACGTATTGCAAACCACTGCTGCTTTAAGGATTCTGAACTGGATTTGCTTAATTATATTTTAAAAAAATCTATATATTCGTAAGTAAACGTAGATTTGCTTAAGGAAGGTATGGTAAATTAAATAGTTTTAGTGTAATTTAATCTTTTGCTTTCAGGATTAATTGTGTTGGTCCAACTTATTTAAATAAATCTAAATTACTTACACAGTTGGTGTTTGGTCACTCAGTATACTGTCGCGTCTCTCAATTTCCTTCTTTTTTCCACAGCATCCAGTTTCCTTGACTACATCTTCTGTCATCACAGGTGGTGATGGTTCAGCATGATGAGGCGGTTCGATATCACTGACTTTGCGGCGACGACAGTACGCACACAATATATCTCGCAATTTACGTTTACGTTTCGTTTCTGTTTCGAATTCTATTGTCGTTCCCTGTAATGTGGTATTCATTTATTACATATTAAGTAATAAAAAATAATTAAAAATAAATATTAATTGGATATGTTATTACCTAAAGTTTCAAAAGGGTTGGCGCTTTTTATTTTTATATTCTGTGTTTCCAACTATCTGGTTAAACAGTTTTACACAATAGTACAATACTCATAATAATATTATATGATTTACCTGTTATTATATTACACTACAAATTACAGTCCTATTCATTGCGACAAATTACTATTTGTAAGTAAACTTTCACTGTTATTTCTCTTCGTAATGCACTCCGCCCATATTATATAGTCCATATTTAACAAACATTACATACAACAGCTCTGTATATAATAATATATTTAATTTAATATACTCACTTTCCCAGCAGCAATTTCTACATCCTCTTCTGGAACTTTCTTTTTAAAGCAGCTCATGTTTTCCCAAAACTTTTGCTTTTCTGCTGGTTCTGTGTCGATTTGATCTTCTGTGCTCTGTTCAGGTTCTTTCGAGGCTTCTCGTTCTTCCTCTTGAGGCTTCGTGCAGCAGGAACAGCATTTCGTTTTGCATTTGTCCATCAATCGTGAACAAATATTCGGTTTTGCGGGTGCTTGCTCAGTTTTTGGAGCCTCAGGTGGACTCTGACTCTTAGACTTTTGATCGCGATTAGTTCTTGGAGGTGGTTTTGGTGTAGTACCGGTACTTTGTGGAAACCTAAATAGAAAACGTTAGTTTATAATAGGTTTTGAAAACGATTTCTTTGATTAATTTATTTTGATATTTAGTAATAATAGCATAATTATATTGTTTCGTATACCTAAGTGTTTGTGTCAATAGTGCGTTAAGAGAAGCATTGGGAGCAAGTAAAATTTAAAATTATATATATATATATATATAAAAATATTCTTGGTGCGTATATATATATATATATATATATATATATATATATATATATATATATATATATATATATATATATCGGTGCAACGTGTGTTGTTTACTTAATATTATTACATGTTTTTATAATTGTTTTAATATTATATTATAACACAATTGATTTATTTATATTTATGATATATAATATGCATTCATAAAACAGTAAAATAAAGATTTTATTTCTCGGAATTTATAGTAGTTTTATAAATATTTTATAGTTTGGTGCAGCACTAAGACCCATCGCCTAAGCTTTTGTTTTACCTTAACAATTCAGCTTGCCCACCATATCTAAAAGTAACAAATTAATATTTTAAACGTGTATACACGTACACATACATGTAATATTATGTTTTCATAACTATGTAAAAATAAAACGTATATCTGTAAATAATTAACAAAATATATAAATATAACACAATCATTTTAAACACGCGGCTCAATTACCTGGAACTTGAAACATTAGAGTCACTTAAAAAGAAAATTATATTAGGAAATTATATATAAAAAAATCTACGCATAATTACTATATTTCTTTATCAAACTCATGTAATTTAATGTTACCCATCATCGTCGTACCGCTTTGGCAGCAATTCATTTGGCAATATAAACACTGTCCTGTTGTGTATCATTTTAAACATCACTTTTTCACTTATCTTCACATAAAGTCATTATATTATTCTTTAATTACATAATTAATGTAAAAAAAGAGCAAATATATTTAAATTTAACGGCTCTACCCTTAATGAGATCTACGTAAACATTGGAACTGTCAAATCCCAAACAGATAATACATATATTTAAACGTCACTGTCAAAGTTTCGCGCCAATACGACGAATGGCTAAGGCGGCCGAGGTCAGAGTGAACTAATTCTTGAAGGGTCGCCTCGTTAGGGGTTGTTATGCGATATGGAGGTAAGAAATTGTTGAAAAGATTGCGTTCCACAAAAATAGGGTTAGTTCAAAGTTATAAATTTAACTTTCGTACGTAAAAAGAGAAGGTAAATGAAGAAGCATTCAGATTATATCTATAGTCCCAGAATTTGTGCAGAATTTATTTTGTTAGTAAGTGTAGGAATTTCTTAATAAAGAATATAATATTATTAATGTTTTTGAACATTTGAGTAGGATACCGAATTGGTACCTTTGGTAAATCTACTCTTTGTAGTGTAATTCGATTTTAATTTATTTACTATGAGTTTGCGAAGTTGCTACAAATATAATGCGTAATTTGTATATTTTCTGCTAAATGTTTTGTATTACCTACAAAAATATATTAAAGCGTAATAGCCTAAAATATATAAGTAATAAAGAAAGAGAAACACAGAATACGAAGAAAGTAGTATAAAATATGCTAATAAGAAAAAAAGTGAAGTTTCAAAGTTTTGCAAAGTTAACAAATTATAGATCATATGTTCATAAATGTACACTTTTTTGTATGAATTTAGAGAATTATAATAATTACTAGCAAAACCCGCGGTTTCGCTCGCGCTAAGACTACAAAAAATCTCTAAAAGTGGTAGTTTCATACAAAATTTCATCCCCTATTTTACCCCTTATATGATGAATTTTGAAAAACGCTAAGACACGTATTTATTAAATTTTATTGAAGAGTATATATACCAAGTTGCAAGTACGTCTGATAATAAATACCGTGTTTTCCCGTGGGAATTAAGTTATCGCCCGCGATAAAAAGTAGCCTTTGTCACTCCAGCCCTCCAACTATCTCTACACAAAAAAACACGCCAATCCATTACTCCATTTCGACGTGAAAGAAGGACAAACAAACACACAAGCAAACACACTATCACATTTATAATATTAAGTAGGGATTACATTATATTTGAAAACAAATATATTCATTCTGTACTCAGCTTTAGACTCAGCACTAAGCTATGATCTTCCAGCTTGCATTTAAAAAAAATAATAAAATGAATGAATGAAAATGGGAAAAGGTTAAATATAAACCATGTGACACAAACAAATTACGTAATTTTTTCCAATTAAAAAAAACCGAGTTGACCTCAAAACACCGAAATCTGGTACCCCTTAAACGAGGTTACCTATAGTAAATTATTTAATTAGGTAAAGTTATTTTTTAGACGCCATAACTACCTGTATAACATTATAGGGTTGGCGAAAATTAATCGCAGGAAAATACGCAACGGAAATTGAATGTATTGGTAGAGTATTTCGGGGTAAATTACATTAACGTTATCTTTTTATAATTTACTAGCATCGTCGTCCCTAGGATCGTTTTAATATTTAAGGTTAGTACAGATTTCTCAGAGATGAGATATTTTTCCTCAGCAAAAAGTATTCTATATGTTGGCCCAGGTAATCAGCTATCATCATACCAAATTTCATCAAAATCTGTCCAGTGGTTTTCTCTTGGTGCGTTTGCAGACCGACAGACAAACAAAAAATCTAAAAACTATACAGTACATACATAAAAGTAGATTCGGCCACAATAAGATTTTCCAAAAAATATTTGATGTACAAATTAGACTCAGAATTTTATTATATGTATAGATTCTATATAAGTATCCTTATGGATACTTTGAATAAAAGGAAATGGTATAAAACGAGTTCAGTATTTTTATTTATACTGTTGTAGTTTTATGATAGATAACTAAATAAATTTATTTTACTTTTTTTATGTTGCTAGTCTTTACTTATAATATTTTTATGAATGATGTTGAATTTTTTATTGTTATGTGAAATGATTATGGCGCCCAATGCGGGGTAATTTGTTTTAAGACCATTTAGTTATATTGTACTAACATAATATAATTTATTCTATATATATTTTTAACTTAACATTTTAAAGAACCAGAGCTAAAGCATACTAATATATAACACTTAACAACCTTAAGAGAGAAAAGGTATTGTTCTAATACTATGTAGAAAAGAAAGAATATTAACTGAATTTTATATACATTTTTATGTATAATTATTCGCAGAAGACATGAATGAAATTAAAAATCAGCGAAAGTTACAAGTTTTGCTAGTGTATGTTTGTTCGTCGTTCAAATTTAAACGGCTGGATGAGTTTGGATGACATTAGTACACAAATAATCTATGATCCGAAGTAACACATAGACAGTAGGCTATAAAGCATCTAGGGCTGCACCCGAGTAAAGTGAGGGCAGACAGCTCGTTATATATTTACAATAATTATATTTCTAAAATATGTAACAAATACATACATTAAGATAATCATTTTAATCTCATATGTAATATCAAATCAAAAACAGTATTAAAATATATTTTTTAACTGAAAGCAATCAACCCTAGGACCGGAGTATGCTAATAGTGGAGGTGGTCACGCCACCCGCTCGATACTGACCCTCAGTAGCCCGTATTCGTAGCTCTTATTGCTATTAGCATAAGAACTATTAATTACAGATCATTTTGAAAATTTTGGACCAGAAACTATGTATAAACAAGACTGGCAAATGTTTTTTTTTTTTTTATTTTATTCACCTCGTATGTACATTGGTTTAGTGATATATATATATATATATATATATATATATATATATATATATATATGTCGGAGGAAGCTAGGAATCAGATTGATTGTTGTTTGCATGATGAATAACGCACAATATTATTTGTTTACATTTTAAATAATTCTAAAATTATTAATTTGATTTTATTTGATTGCTTACATTTTTCTATAATTTAAAAACTTCGGCAATCTAATAAAAGCTATGAATATGTTAAGTCACGTAACGACCAATCGGAGCAGAGCACGTGCCTCGAGCGGGGTCGAGGCGCCATCGTTTACTTTAGGGAGACTGATTGTGTTTTTCGAACATTCGAGTGATAGTAACTGGTCGAGTTGGATCGTATTCATTGTTTGAAGTAAAGACGGTGCCCTGAACCCGCTGCTCGGTCTTAGTTATTAATTCTTCGTTTTAATTTATTTCAATAGTGCGTGTGAAAGTGAACATTGTAATATCTGTGTTAAGTGAATATTATTAAAATAAAACACTACAGAACTGTTAATTGTGTTTTGTGCTCGCACTTTACCCAATGACGCCCACTAAGCCCGCAACCATGAATGATGATGTCGGATAGAACAATGTTTCTCCGACATCAGAAGTGGGATCGGTGCAGGCACAAAACGTGAGCGAATGGACAGCGAAAGCAAATGACGGATGGCGTGCGTTATTTGAAGCGCAACAAACCAGTATGAAGCTACTCGTGGAGGCGCTAACCAACCCACCGAATATCGAGGATAAGAGCATCACGCTGCCTAAATTTCAACCGGAGGATGCAGGCACCGACGCCCGGGCCTGGCTTGCCACGGCGGACATCTGTTTATCGGATAGTGGTATACAGGGAAGTAAATTAGTTCTTATACTTAGTAAGGCACACAGGTTCGGCCGCAACATGGTTTTCTCAGATAGCTTTTCCTAATATGAAATGGTTAGAATTTAAGGAAATTTTTCTTTCTCGTTTCGATACGTTAGAAACATGTGCTGCAACGATATTAAAGATGCTTACTGGCAAACTGCAAGAAGGTGAATGTCTTGCTGCATATGCAAGCCGTTTATTTACTTTACTCATGTCACGATGGAGTAATTTGGGCAAGGAAGAAATGGTGGTATCCTTAATACTTGCACACATGGGGCAAATTGAGCCAAGGTTACAACGCAATATTTTTTTTGAAGAAATAACTACCCGCTGTAAAATGCAACGTGAACTAATGGCTTTTTCTTATCGCAAGCGGAGCTACCAAGAGATAACAAAGACCGTTGCAAGCACTATACCAGATAATAAGCGTCCTAGGTTAAGTTCAGTTTCAACAAAATGTTACGCTTGTGGAAAGCTTGGTCATAAGTCTTTTGAATGTTTCAGTCGATTGCATGACAAGCAGCAAACAACTCCGACCACTGAGCGCCGGCCGTTACTACGTGGGCCCCTGTGACTTGCTACAAGTGTGGTGTTGAGGGCCATGTGGCATCGCGGTGCTCAAAAACGTGGCCAGTTGCGAGCAGCAGCGCACAGCCTGCCGCCGCGCCCAGCGTTGTGAAACGAGTGGACGTGTGTGGTATGAAACCTGTCACCAGGATAATTACACAATTTGGTGAGCAGTTCTCATTTTGTTTTGATTCCGGTGCTGATTGTTCCTTAATTAAAGAGAGCGTCTCTCGTAAGCTTGTTGGTTCATTGTTAGCGTGCCATAGTTACTTTGACTGGTGTAGGAAAATCTAGTGTACTATGTGACTCGCAAATTTTATCTAGGGTCTCTCTTAGTGGTCATGACGTACAAATTTTATTTCACATTATACCCGATGATTACCTAAATAACAATATTTTGATTGGACGTGATTTGTTGGCCTTAGGGTTGTCAGTACACATATCAAGTGATAAGCTTACTATAGTTGAGAAGCCCTGTCTAGTTAATATTTGCAACGTAGGTAGCGCGGTGGCTGACTTTCATGACGTGGATACCGATATACCCGATAACTTTAAACCACAATTAATAGAACTTCTTAGCTGCTTTAAAAACTCATTTATTGAAGACACGCCTACTAGTAGAGTAAAGACAGGCGAATTAGAAATTAATTTAGTATATCCTAGCAAAATCGTGCAACGGCGGCCTTATCACTTGAGCCCTGAAGAGCGAGTGATAGTACGTAATAAGTGTAGTGAATTATTATCTGCTGGAGTTATTAGACCAAGCAAATCGCCCTTCTCTAGCCCAATACTCTTAGTAAAAAAGCGTGATGGCACAGACCGAATGTGCGTAGATTACCGAGAAACAAACTCAAATACAGTTCCCGACCGGTACCCCTTACCTCTAATTGGCGATCAAGTTCAAAGGTTATCAGGCGCGCGGTTTTATACGTGTCTTGACATGGCTAGTGGATTTTATCAAGTTCCTATAAATGTAGAGTCGAATTCGATCGAGAAAACCGCATTTATTACCCCGGACGCTCATTATGAGTTTACTGCCATGCCTTTTGGCCTACGAAATGCTCCCTCTGTGTATCAGAGAGCTATTAACGCGGCTCTAGGTGACCTAGCGCATTCTTATGCTATCGTTTATATGGACGATCTAGTTATACCAGCGAATAACGTAGAGCAAGGGTTGGAACGGTTACGTGTAGTATTAAAAACTCTTAGCGATGCTGGATTTTCAATTTCAATATGAAAAAATGAGTCTTTCTAAAGAAGCAGGTCCAGTTTTTGGGGTATGAAATATCAGAGGGCGAAATCAGGCCTAACCCTCGTAAAATAACCGCGTTGACTAGGTCCCAACTGAGCTGGATCCGTGTCTGTCGGATGACAATGATGGTAAGAACTTCGTAATAAATTTCTTTTGTTTAAAATAATTAGTTATTAGAGTGTGTTTGTATATTGCGAATAGATTTTCTTTATAAGATATCCTGCGTGGTGGTTGTTAAGGTTTAGTTAAGCTTTATGAGAGGCGAGGTGGCCACTGAATGGCGAGGTGGCCACTGAATGGCGAGGTGGCCACTGAATGGCGAGGTGGCCACTGAATGGCGAGGTGGCCACTGAATGGCGAGGTGGCCACTGAATGGCGAGGTGGCCACTGAATGGCGAGGTGGCCACTGAATGGCGAGGTGGCCATTGAAAGGCGAGGTGGCCATTGAAAAATGAAATTAGTAGAATAAGAGGCGAGGTGGCCATTTAGATATTGTCAGTAATCCAAAATGTGTAACGCGATAAACGGCGAGGAGGCTGTTTCGATACTACTGACTTAATTTACGATGTAGTGTGGAGTCTGTTAGGATTCGGATTCGATTATGAAAGGCTTTAAATGAAGTTGTTGCGCAGAGGATAAAATGTAATGATGTACACGATCTCCTTGGTCAGGAGTGGCCGAACTATACAAAATGTCTTCTTTCTTTTCTGCAGATAACGATGATGCGCGGCCATCAATATCACACGAGGGCGTGTAATACGTCAGGACGGCCGTGTCGGAGGAAGCTAGGAATCAGATTGATTGTTGTTTGCATGATGAATAACGCACAATATTATTTGTTTACATTTTAAATAATTCTAAAATTATTAATTTGATTTTATTTGATTGCTTACATTTTTCTATAATTTAAAAACTTCGGCAATCTAATAAAAGCTATGAATATGTTAAGTCACGTAACGACCAATCGGAGCAGAGCACGTGCCTCGAGCGGGGTCGAGGCGCCATCGTTTACTTTAGGGAGACTGATTGTGTTTTTCGAACATTCGAGTGATAGTAACTGGTCGAGTTGGATCGTATTCATTGTTTGAAGTAAAGACGGTGCCCTGAACCCGCTGCTCGGTCTTAGTTATTAATTCTTCGTTTTAATTTATTTCAATAGTGCGTGTGAAAGTGAACATTGTAATATCTGTGTTAAGTGAATATTATTAAAATAAAACACTACAGAACTGTTAATTGTGTTTTGTGCTCGCACTTTACCCAATGACGCCCACTAAGCCCGCAACCATGAATGATGATGTCGGATAGAACAATGTTTCTCCGACATATATATATATATAATATATACATATTATTTTCATATATTTTATGATTTTTTTATCAGAGCGTAAATTACACTGCGTAAGTTTCATTAGTTTCAAAATTATCCATCTACATACGTTTTAATGTTTAGTATGGAATAGATAAATTATATATTTTATAATATATATAGCCTTCCTCAATAATCGGGCTATCTAATAGGTACAAAAAGAATTTTTCAAATCAGATTAGTAGTTCCTGAGATTAGCGCGTTCACACAAACAAACAAAGTCTGCCTCTTTATAATGTCAAATATAGATTAGTATAGATTTTTTCAAAAATAAAACTATTTAACACACGATCAGTGTTTTTATTTTATTGCATAATCTGTATTTAGATTTAGCATATAATTTTAATTTAAGCTATTTATATTTTGCAGATGACCAAAAACCAAATTCTTAGGTTTTACATATTAGTATACCGTTACATTGCAGTTTTTGTATTTTTTCTCAGAGATAGATATTTTCCCGCGATAAAAAGTATCCTATATGTTGACCCGGATAACCAGACCATCATACCACATCAAAATCCCTCCAGTGGTTTTTCCGTGATGCGGTAACAGACAGACACTACTATAGATTCGGCCTCTGTATCGATAATAATGTCTATTTCAATAAGATTTTCCAAAAAATATTTAATGTACAGATTCGACTTAGTTAGAATTTTATTATATGTATAGATACTATTATGTTAATAACTGTAAATTGCGATGCTTTTATTATTAAATATCATATGTGTTCCTGCGTGCAAAACGACAAACAAATCTTCGTTAGTTGTATTGTAAAACGTATTCAAGAGCCATGAAATTCGCACGACCGTTTCAAAGGCATAATTTTACTTTCATATAATATTGTGGTACTCCAACAATACTTTTCCCGATGCACGAGTGTGAAGAAAGTATTCCCTTGTTGATTTCGATCAGTTTTCACCGTTTACGTTGATAGCGTCGCGGTTTGCATAATCATTACTATTACAATTTACTATGGAAAGTAAGTGCGTAGTCTCATAAGCGTCCGTTCATTAGAAATATTTAAAGAAATCCTTGGTAATAGGTATAAATAATAATTGGATGTTTATATTCAAGTAGCAAAACCCATGTCTTCGCTCGCAATAAAACTACAAAACAACTAAAAAGGTAGGTTTCATATAAATTTTCATCCCCCATTTTACCCCCTTATGAGATTGAATTTCGAAATATGCTAAAACATGTATTTATTTAATTGTATTTATTCAATTGATACTAAGTTATAAGTAATTCTGATCATAACTAATTTTTTAATTGTATTATAACGGGTTTTCCCGTGGGAATGAGATAATCTCCCGCAGTAAAAAGTATCCTATGTCACTCTCCAGCCCTCCAACTATCTCCACACAAAAAATCACGCCAATCCGTCCGTCTGTTTTAATTTGAACGAAGGACAAACAAACAAACACACTTTCACATTGATAATATTAGTATGGATATAAAGAGTTTGTATCATGTCTTTTTTAATCAATTAATCAAAATATACTTCATTTAAATAAAAAAATTGTTTTAAGGATTTTTTGGAGAAGGTTAAAGACATTTAGTAAGTACATCATGCTTCGATCCTTAAGAACGGACTAAGTATGTATAAATTAAATATACAAGCGGAGCCGCGGACGAAAGTAAATATATATATATATATGTATATATATATATATATATATATATATATATATATATATATATATATATAATTATGTCTGTTTCCCAATATGACGGTTTTATGTTAAATTAATTATTTAGCATTTATAGTTAAGAAATCTACCCACGCTTCGCTAAAGCCCAAACTACGACCCGCGCGCTTTATAATAATATATTCAATGAAGTAACTATACTTCAAAACGAGATTCCTCTACTATCTATATATTTTTTTTGCACATAAAAATTTAAATATACAACAAATAAGATAATTGAGGGCAAAGTTGGGCTTACTTTTAATAGAGATTTCTTCCAATCAACATATAGGGGTTAGAAACATTGTCACTAAGCACAAGATAATCTTTTAGTGTAACGTAAATTTATTAAATTTTTATATGTTTTTTTATAATGTAGTGTAAACAAAAAAAGTCCTTAAAATGGTATGATCGCATTAATATTTGTTGTTAGTGATCTAAATATGTATTTGCAGTTTGTTTTAGAAATAACGACATGCCAACTAATAATAACAAAAGTCTTCTACTTACCCGCCGTTACTATGTGATTTGTCGGATGCACTGCCTTTGGTCGATTTACTCAGCAATGTAGCTTTTTCTACACCAGGCGTCGACAAATTTGAACTTTGCACTTCGACTTCTGGTCCACCTTGCACTAAAGTCTCATTTATCTGTTCAATATCACTTTTGGATGCCATTTTCTTTTCACTAACAACAGTCACTATAGGCTCTATAGTTTTCTTGGTGTCTATTCTTGGCCTTTGAATTTCTTTTGGTTCTTCTATTGGAGTCATTATGCTATCGATTATTTTTGTCGCCTCTGATCGAATTTTTGAACTCATTTCTTCTCCTTCTTTGATTATTTTATCTTTCTTTTCTATTTCCATGTCGGTAACTTCGCTTGCAGCCTCTTTTGCGACGGACTTAGCTTTTTCAGCTATAGTTTTTGTAGCTTCTTTAGCTTTGGCCGCTGCTAATATATTTTCTGTTGAAATTTCTGGCTCTTTTAAAATACAATCTATTTTTTGTTTAACCTTTTCAACTTGGGGATTATTATAGGGAGGTTGTAAAAGCCTTAATCGTATATGATCTTCTGTAAAAATTGTGCGTTCATGATTTTTTGTTTTAACTGGTTTCTTTTCTTCTTCTACAGATTTTATCTCTTTTTCATCTTCTTTACCTAATAAGGAATCGGAACTCATTCTTTCAGAAATTCTTTTCTCTCTTGCTTTTTCTAGAGCTGCAGGTAATTGATTAGTAACTGTGGCTACAACTTCTAAAGGCTGCGATGTAATTGCTGCTGTTGTCATAGAAACAACATTTTTTTTAGTCAGAATAACAAGGTCCTCTGTTTCATTTTTAGCTTTGTCATATTGAGTCTCATTGTCGTGTTTTATGATTTCATCTCCGACGTTGGCGTCTACTTTATTTTCTTCTTCCTTCTCTTTTTTCTTAACAACGCTTGTAATTTTTGCACCGTCTTCTTTTTTGGCTACATTTTTTTCTATATTAGTTTTCTTAGCTGCCACTTCGTTAAGTTTTGATGTTGATTTAGACTTTTCAGAAAGATCTTTTTTGCTTATTTGTCTGCTTAATGGAGGTTTCTCGTTTAAAGTTTTTGTGCTTGGAGTTCTACTAAGATTCTTGACACTATTTGTTCTACTAACAGGTTTTTTTGGTTCCGTTTTATTTGACACAGGAGGTTTTTGAGTAGTTTTGGTATTTGGTGTTCTAGCGGTAGTTCTCGAAACACCATTAACAGGTTTGGCCGTAGTTTTAGCAGCAGGCTTACGTTTTTCAGGACTTGGGTCTCTACTTGCCGCTCTGCTAGGGGGTCTAGAATTTAATCTAGATGTAGCAGGTGTAATTCCAGCAGTCTTTGTGGGTTTTCTCGCAGCTGTTGTTGGTTTTGTTGGTGTTCTAGCTAATCCAATTTTTGGATCTTCAACGGGACTTTTATTAGGGGTCCCAACTATAGGTGATAGTCTTTTAGGATTTATGAATTTATTGGAAGGCGGTGGTCCAGTTTTTCCTGGAGATATAGGAGGCTTACCTTTTATATGCGGAGAAACACTTAAATGTTGAGTACTTTGACTTGCCCTTTTATCATGAACTTGACTTCCTATTCTTATAGTTTCATGAATGCTGCTCGTGCTGTTAGACATGTACCTCTGGTTACGGTTTAAATTTCTTTCTAACGATTGTCTTGAATTAGTTCTTGTTGGCGAAACAGAACCTTGACGTTTCGGTATTTTCGAATGCTTTGGCGATACATTATTCGATTCAGGTTGAGATTTAGACACGGATCTTAAGCGGGATCGGTGCGCCACAGGCTTAGAAAATCCTTCTTCCTTATTTAAGTTTTCAGTACTACCAGGCATATTTTCGTAAATTAAAATAGCTGACGGAGAGTTTGAACGTGACCGAAAATTTACTTTACTTGGCGAATTGCTACGAGAGTTTGTTCTAGAATTAACAGTACTTTTGAGTTCTCCTTTTTTATCTAATATTCCCATCTCTTTTAGTAAAGCTATTTCTTCATCTTGCTTCCTTTTTTCAGCTTCAGCTTCATTTTTTTCACGATTTAGCTCACTTAATTCCCTTATTTCTTCCATGTTTTCTTTAAGAAAGTCTCTAGGTGGCCTATGTATGGGGCCTGGAGGCGGTAAAGTTACAACTTGGGCCATATTGTCGATTCGAGTTAGAGAACTAGTTCTTTTATATGGCGGCGAGTTAGATCTTGAATTGGCCGCTGAGGTTTTTGGAGTATTGTGCCGAGATGTTTCTTCTCGAAAGCCCCGACCTAAAAAAAAATATTATTATTTATATTATTGTTATTGGGTCAGTGTGATAATATCAACTAATAATAATCTTATAACTCATACTAATATTATAAAGAGGCAGAGTTTGTAACTTTTTATATAGAAACTAAACTCTGAAACTACTGATTCGATTCTAAAAATTCTTTTACTAATAGGAAATTACATTACCCCCAAGTGTGTAGGCTATTTTTTATTGCGATAAAAAAGTGTTTAGTGCCAAAAATCACTTAACTTTAAATGACGTCGGTACCCTTTAAGAGGCATACATAGGGACGAAACCATGTGAAAGGTACCACACTACAAATAATAAGTACATTTGAATTGTACTACATATGTTTATTGCGAAACGTTTGACAATTAAGCGATAGTATCAGAAGGGGCGCGAGTGCGGGCCGGGAGAGGGCGCGGGCGCGGCGCGGCGCAGGGCGCGCCACAGCGCCGCCAGCCGCGCCAGCGCCGCCAGCGCGACGCCGCCCGCGCTCGCGCCGGGCGGGCTGGCGTCGCGTCTATACAATACTCTTTTTTAGATAAATATCTAGTTATATTTATCTAGACACACTATTTCCCCTCATAGAAACGAACACTGTTTACGATAAACAGGTAATTTTTACCAACCTACAAGGGGTTAAGATTTTAGCAGTCTACGTATGTACGTTCATACATCATAAGTTACGCCGTCAAACTATTCGTCGTATTATTGGAAACGTCATTCCGTTCGGCTGGTTATAGGCTACATAACTGCTACAGCTGCAAATCCGGAGGTCGTGGTTCTAGTCCTTAATCGGGCCAACTAAATTATATTAAGTTGGAAAGTTGATCATTTTACACTACCATGTCTCGGAGAGCACATAAAACCGTCAATCCTACGGGTGATCTTTGACCGCGTCTTTTTATCTGGTTTTTCAGTGATAGGCGTCAGTTCTGTTTCTTTGATAGGGCTTGGATCTTTAACGTCAAGTTTTTTTTCCTCGATCTCCTTTACAGGGCTAGAAACCTTTTCGTCTGATTTCTCAGTAATAGGTTTAGGCTCTGTTTCTTTGACAGGGCTGGGCTCCTTTTCGTCATGTTTCTTTTCCTTGAACTCCTCTACGGGACTAGGCGTCTTTTTATCTTGTTTACCAGTGATAGGCGTCGGTTCTGTTTCTTTGAGAGGGCTTGGCTCCTTGACGTCAAGTACCTCGTCTTTGAGCTCGTCAACAGGGCTGGGCGCCTTTTCACCTGGTTTTTCACTAGTAACCATGTAAAGTCACTTGTGCAAAATATATGTAGAATTACCTTTAAAAGGCGATACCCTCCCAGGTCGTATCTCCACTGGGAGGGACCGAGGGCTGGTGGGGCAAGAGGTAGTGGGTTCTGCGATAATCGCAAACGAAGTCTCCCTTTTCTTTTTCGATGTTGATATTGTTCTGGAATTAAAAAAAAACTTATTTAATATAAATCTATTTTTAACAATAAAAATGTGAATCAGTGTTTGTTTGTTTCTTTCTCACCGAAACAAAGTAAGAGATTCATATGAGTTTATAATTTACTTCGGGTAAATAAATAAACAGGTTAATATAAAACTCATACAAGGAATTTTAGTTGTTTTTTTTTCTTAAAGGCGAAAGTCGGAGGCCTCAGCAGTGATACTATGCTTTTATTTGTGTTACTATTTTAGAAGGCTGTATTTCTAGGTTCTTTTTTTAAGAGGTTAAATATTGCCTAAAATGTTCATACGCTTACAAACATTAAGACAGAAGTATAATAACATTGTAAAAAAAAACTGTCGATTCAGTTCTAGTAATTTCGTCTTTGAAGGCCATTTTTTTAGATAATTACAAGTGAAAATTTAATATATACTAAAATTATAAAACTGAAAAGAATTTTTTGTTCGTTGAAACGAGTTAATTTCTATGAGTAACAATATTTGATATTTTGTCGCTACTATTAGAAATGTGAAAATTCGTATGTGTGTATAATCGTTACTCCTTCGTGTTAAAAACGGCTGGACCGAATTGGATGAAATTACACAAGAAATAGACTGGTCTCTGATCTAGAGTAACATATAGGCTACTGGTAGTAATAAAAATTACTAAAAGATGGCGTAGGCAGTTGTAGCTCGGTGGTAGCGCGCTTGCTTGGTAAACCAAGTGAAGCGAATTTAAAACCAGGCTTCTCGAGCCTCTGATATTTTCATGTGTGGTTTACTTTAATATCATAATTACCATTTGCCTTACGGTGAAGGAAGACATCGTGAGGGAACCTGTATGTCTGGGAAAACCTAGCAAGTTTTAGAAAGGCATGTGAAGTCCGCCAAACCGCACTTGGACTATGGCCTTGTTTCTCTCGTAGCGAAAGGAGGCCCGAGCCCAGTAGTGGGACGTTAAAAAGAACGGAATAAAAAAGGGGGCATTACCCTTATTAAATATTATATTTTGGTAGTAGTATATAAAGTCAGGAGCAAACTAGTAAATTTATCCATCAGTTGACGATTATTGTGCGACCTTAATTCACTGGCAAGCCTTGAGAAACGCTATATTTTTTGTATAAACACTTGAGGATGTACTTTAGTATTTATATGTCTCTTTTTGAATCGAAGAATGTCATTGGAATACTTATTAATTTTATTACATCCAGTTCATTCGTTATAAGCATTAAGGGACTCGTTCTATACATATGTACGATGTTCCTTAGGTATTACAAGTGTCTTCCATATAAATCCATACTAATATTATAAATGTGAAAGTGTGTTTGTTTGTTTGTTTGTTTGTTTGTTTGTTTGTTTGTCCTTCTTTCACGTGCAAACGGAGTGAGGGATTGGCATGATTTTTTGTGAGGAGACATGCCGCCAATCCGCACTCGGCCAGCTTGGTGGATTATGGCTTGATCCCTCTCGTATAAAAAGGTCTGTGCGTAGCAGTAGGACGTTAAAAGGGCTATCTAAATATTACTTACATTTAATTTGTGAAATGTGACTTGCGACGAAGGCTAAATAATATAAATTCGACATATAAAAGTTATCAATTAAATATCTTATAACTTGACCTGATACAAAATTAGCGTAATTTTATTCATACACTTGTATTGTTCTTAATTTGTTTATGTTCTATCTTAACGTCTGCATATTGATAATTGAAAAATCTGCACTACGGGGTTTAAAATATCATTCTACAATCGCTATCACTAATATAAACCTGAATGTATGGAAATGCCATATGTATCTAAGCATTATGTCATATTAGAATATGTCTAAGCCCTGCCTCTGTGGTGTAGTAGCTAGCACGTACGGCTGCCCATCCGAAGGTCCTGGGTTCGAATCCCGAGAGTTAGGCCTAGTTTATTTATTATATATTATTATTTGGGTCTTTAGTTTATCGAAGTTTCAGTAACAACTCGGAGATAGGTAGTTAGCAGTGGACTCGTGCCCTATAATATCTCCTGCATTTGGTTAGTCTCAGTGAGTTTGGCCGCCTTGGCCTAAATCAGTTCGGAAGGACATCAATAAATCTATAAGCCTTTATCGTCACTAACAATACTTTTCTGATGTAAAACGAGATTACCACATTTCTCACTAACTTCTATGACACGTTTGGCTCAATTTGCAGTAACCATACTTGCTGTGACAGCGGTCGCGGGTTCGAGTCGGACCGCTGGGGGCATTCATTTGTGTGATGAGCACGAATGTTTGTACTCCAGTCATCGGTGTTTATATTTATATTATGTATGTATTTAAAGTTATATATGCGTAGTGTATCAACTATCTGGTATCCATAACACAAGCCTCATAGCTTACCATGGAACTAGATGGTGCTGTGAGTTAATGTCCCAACATATTTATTTATATTTATTCTATAAGCTCCCAATATTTCGGCACCATGGTCATACAAGCACCATGGTCACGGGTATTGCTCATAAGTAAGGCCTTCAAACCGTTTAGAAGTAACGGTGTAAAGAAACTATAGTATTATGTCAATCATAGCGTACGCTTTCGCCTTTTATGCGTCGCTGCACATGTTCCTATACAGGTAAACTTATAGCTATTGTATTAAACATTTACTAACCGACTTCAAAAGATAGAGGTTTTCAAATCAGATTTATGTTTATTTATTTGTATGTTACGAGATATCTTTGACGGTGGCAAATCCAATTTTATTCGTTCCTTTATGTCTGTATAATGTATATGTATGTCAATAGGTAATGTTTTATGTAAAATATTACTTATATTTTTATTATACACTACCGACTCACCCTCGCTCCGCTCGGGTTCGTCCCAAATTATGTTTTAATGTATAGCTGTGAGATGAAATATTTTCTCGCAGTAAAAAGTATCCTATATATTGACCCGGATAACCAGCTATCACCATACCAAATTTTATCAAAATCTGTCCAGTGATTTTTTCGAGATGCGGTAACAGACAGACAGTTAGACAAAAATTCTAAAAACTATAGATTCGGCCTCCATATCAGTAATAATGTCTATTTCAATAAGATTTTCCAAAAAATATTTAATGTACAGATTCGGCTTAGTTACAATTTTATTATATGTTAGATTTTGCATATTATACATTTTTATTATACAAATGACGTTTTTATTAACAATGATTAACTTATTATAAAAAGATTGGAATAATTTGGGACTTTATTTTATTGAATGTGTGCATTCAATACAAAAAAAGAAGAAGAAAGAGAGAAGGAGAAAAAAGAAGTAGTGTACCTTACTCACACTACAACACCATACACAGTTTCATGGCAAAGAAACAAAGTACTTTAATCTCTATACTTTACTATCCTATAATCATCATATACCGTGTAATGAGATGCATTCGCCGAGTTTGAGCCTTGCTATGGAAAATCAAAGTAATGTATGGTGTTAGTCTTAAACGGTAGTGAATGGGATACATCATGACTGATCATGCTATTTCTACATTTAATATATATTATGTATGTATATGTATAAATAAAATTAAAATACTATTCGTTGGTAAGTTTATCACTTGAGAACGGTTCGACCAGTTTGAATATTTGTTTTAAGTACTCGTAATAGAATTAGGTTTTTAGGGGGAAAATGATAAAATTACCTTTTAGCTTGGGCTTTTTTCGTTAGGATTTTGTATGAACAAAGTAAATTTATTATAATTTCGACAGAATAACGTCTGCCGGGTCAGTTAGAAAAAAATAAGTATTATGAGTGTATCTGTTACTCCAAGTCATAATCTATGTATCTTTATACTAAACATCCAAATTCATTCAGCCGTTTCAGCGGGAAGATGTAACAAAGGCACATACATACATACAAATTTGATTGTTCATAGAATGATTGATTTATACCTTTTTAACTTCCCACTTCTGGGCATGTTATGTATCGATAGGAGAGGAATCAGTCTATAGAATGCCTTAACGATGTGCTACCCCCATGTCTTCGGACTTCCGAGAACGTAAAGCAGCGGATCTTTTATCATTCATGTCAAATTGTCGTACAACGGACTATGAGAATAATAGGTGAGAGCGCTTATTGTATCTGCGCGTACACGCGTTGCACTATATTACTCCTGCAGTTGGCTAGAGAGTTTGGCCGCCGTGGCCGAAATCGGTTTGAAAGACATATCCTATGAACATATTTATTAATTTTAATTATCTTTTTAAATTCTCCGTCAAACGTCAAGCTTTTCTATCCATTTTTTTTAAGGTGGATCACTATTTTCATATTTTTTTCTAAGCAACAGATGTGTTCTAAGGGTACAGTGGTCCCATCTCTATTGGTCAAATAATTACTTGTAAAAATGATTTTAAAGTTTACTTTTAAGTGTTTCTTGTTAATAAGATAAAAGATTTTTTTCTTAAACAATATCTATCTCTTTGTTTTTTCGATTTCAAGTTTGATATTAGTACCATCATATCTATCCATGCATTATAATTAATATACGAAATGCAGGTAGAACTCCCCATTTTACGCGCTCCATATAAACGTGGGTCTTCTTTAATGGTTGCAAAACACGTAAATTCCGCGGTAAGTCCACATCAGTGTTATATAAACTTAATAATTTATTTTAATTAACTCTCATATTAACCACTTAACAAATTTTAACTAGTAATTACATGTCTAACAATATACAAACAAAACTTAGTTAGTGAAAAGTTATAATGCAATTCGGTTTGACTGACGTGTGTGGGTGTTCATTGTGATGAATCATGGGTTCCTATGGTGGGATGCTCCACGCTTGCCTTGGGCTTAATTTCTTTAGATGCCTACAATAAAATGTA